CGGGAGAGGTCAATGGGGGGAAAAGGAGACTCATGTAATACTTTAAACAATAAAGAATTAAAAAAAAAAAGACAGTATTGAATTAGTAGTTACTTGGACAACAAAATTGACCATGTCTGTTAAGATCCTTGTGTTGGCAAACCCATGTAGAGAGGTTTCTATTAAAAGCCGTTAGTCCTCAGGCCTCCATCCACCTTTTTAAGCATTGGAATCAAAGCCACTTTTGCACATCTGCTATTTAGAGATGGAAAATTATAGTTATTAGTTTATGGTTTTGGCTATTATAATGAATTATTCTGTTTAGAGGTCAAATCATTGCAATTACACTTTTGCTGTACACTTGTTTTCATCTTTTAGTAGTTTGATTCCAGAAGTCAGGTGTAAGTCTTATTCATTAGTGGGCATCAGACACATTTTTTGAGGAGTTTCTTGAAAATACAGCTGGCCTATACACATTTTAGTCATTTGGCATAGCTGCTGTGAATTCACAACATGATTTGGAATAAAAGAATTTAACAGCTTTGTGATGGATTCACAAATCTAAAGTCTAATTGAATATAGTATTTTCATCTAATATGTTGACTTATTTTTTCTATTGTGGATTGATTTGTGCATTTTTTATAAAGAGGTAACAAATTATGATGGAATATTTTTAAAAGAAATTTATTATTGACTCATGCTATTTATGTAAATATAAACAATATATATTTGAAATATTTATCAAAGAAGAAGGAACAAAAGGTCTTTGGTCATATGTAGTATTAATTCACTGGCAAGCCTCTAGGGTGCCTATCCCTATTTTTGGAAGCTATTTGATTATTTATTTTATTTGTACAGAATCTAATGTCCTGAACAAGCAGTGGGAAGCCATTGAAATGTTACTATTTTTCTCACACTTGAGCACTTTATTAGATATTGATGTGTACAGATTTATATTTGGTTATAGGTCTCTATTAGTATATTCTTTCATCAGGGCTGCTAATAAGGGATAATTTCATTTTTTTTCTCTGCAAAATTTAAAAAGAAGGGAAAGGAAGAATTTTTGAAGTATTCATGCATAATTCTTTAGTTATTCCTGTAACTATTCCATTGGTATATTTAATAAGAATTTTTTTTAGGATTTCAGAATTATAAAGACTGGGAATTAGAAATACATTATATTTTTACAGGTGAGCTGTAGAAGTCACGGGAAGGACAGACCTTAGATTAGACAACATTACATTGCCTGTTTAATATTGCAAAGACCAGATGATGTTTCAGTTGTTGACTTTGGGAAATTAAATTTACTACGTATGAATATATACTTGAACCTTCTGTTCCATGCAGATGAGCTTAGTTGTCAAAGACAGGAAAACAGTAGCTGCTCATAGAGCATCCATGGATGATGGCTATGTCACTAGATTAGAGGTAAACCAGACCCCTGCAACAGCCAAGAAAGTGTAAGGTTTATGATTAAAACCATTAATTTCAGAAGCCAATTTAGTTTATTGTACTTCAGTTAGTGTTAATATTTTAATTTTATAATTATAAAACTGACTCTTTTTTATTCTATTTATTGCCCTCAAAGATAAGGTTTGCTCTACTTTTTATTTATTGTTTTCCCTTCGCTTCTTTCTTTAGTGCTAATTAATACTTAAACATTTACTTCAGCCTCTAAGTGTGTTAAGCACTTATATACATTTCAGGCTCATAACAGCCCTAGGAAGAACAGACTGTTTCTCTCTATACTCTTTAAAAAACTAAGGCTCAGAGAGGTTAAGTCACATGTCCAAGGTAAAACAGCTAATAAATGGTGAAGCACAAGCCAGTAGCTATCCCCATTTTCTTAATCTAGAACTCAAGTAATTTCTATTGTGCTTTTGCCTATCAAAATATAGTTCCCTGTCATAATTTTCTTTCCAGTCTTTTAACACTTCTTTTTATTTTGCTAAATGTTTAAAATAAAGTTGCTAATAAAAGTTTTTTTCTGCATTTTGGATTAATGCCTCTTTTATGTTGCAGTATAGTCTTCATTTTAAGATGGTAGTTGGCCCTTAAAGTAAAAAGGGCAGGCCTGTAGGAATGTTGGAAGGCCTTGTGGTCAAACGTTCTCTCTTAACTTGAAGGTTTGAGTGCACTTGTTTCTTCCCCGCTTACTGATGTTTGTTGCAGTGAATCATCACGCAAACCTTAAAAGGAGCTGCCCCATGTTGTTATATTCCTTAAGATGCACATTTAACTTGTTTTTAAACCCTGAGGCCACAACCTAAGATTGTGCTTCTCTGTTGATCATGTTTTAACTTTTAAGGTAATGAATGTCTCCCTTGAAACTTCATAACATCAGTGTTAAAGGTTAGAAGACATTTTTGGAGCGCTGGCATGAGACTCGGAGCTTTCTGACATCTTTCAGCCTCTCAGAAGTGACATTTATTTGAGATCAGTTTTCTATGGTGTCAGATATTTAAGGGCTTAGTAGTTGTCATAATCCAAGGACTACTTTAGTTGCTCTAGATTTTGTTATTGATTTTACTGAATACATCTTCAGTGATTTTACTGAATACATCTTCAGTGACAATATATTATTCCAGACAGCAAACAACTCATATCTGAGTTAGATGTTGTAAACTTGTTACTGTCCCACATGGGTTGTCATTTGAAAAAATATTAACAAACATAAAGCAATCTTGAGGTGCAACCATTTGTTAATAATGGTCATTATTTTCAAAGAACCTTAATTAGCAGTTTTGTATATTGATATCATCATTACAAAAAAACAACATAGCAATTCATATAAAAGCCAAAACATTTTTATACCCTTTAACTTAGCAATTTTGGGAACATGCATCCTATACCTTCTAGCCTAAAACAAAAATCTGAGACCATCTGTCACTGTGTTTCTCTTATTTTCTCTGTACTCATTGATTTCCATTAGCACATTTATTAGTGAAAATATGTTATATTATCCAAAATAATGTACAATTTCCAAAGCACTTAACAGTAAATTAGTTTGTGTTTGTTATAGCCTTTCATTTTACTTCAACTTTGAATCAGAGATTTAAAATATGAAATAATAACTAGTATTTATTTAGTACTTATATATCAGGTACTGTTTTTTATGTTCTTTATAAATGTAAAATTATTTAATACTAAAATAGTATGAGAAATCATGATGCTTATTTATGATAAGAAAACCTAAGCCCAGACAGATTTAATGTCTTTGGTTAAAATCAAATAAGAGGCAGAAGTAGGGTTTGACCCCAGGCAAGCTGGCCTGTGACACTGGAAATATTATTTCATATATTATATAATTTACTGTGTTTTATGAAATATTTTATGTATTTATTGTTTACTTTTTAACTTATTGCCATGGCCAGTGATGACCAAGAACATTTGCAGGATTTTAAAGAAAGGTTAAAAATATTGTCTTCACTGATAATATTTATTAGAAATCCTATCTATGTATTTTAATAAATGTAAGACCTAAATAGAAACTTGAATAAGTGGTGACATGCTATTTGTTCATTCCATTTTAAGAGATCATCTAAATAAAGCATAATACGCTAACATTGTCACTTTTCTTACATAGAAACTTGGGTGGTCATAGGAATCTCCAGCTAGTAAAGAAGTGAGCTGTGAAATTATTTATAATAATTATTTTAAGCATATAGTAATTTTTAAGCCCTTAGGATTACCAACACTTTTTCCCCTGGCAGTTTAGAGTTGAAAATAAATGAAAAGATACCCATGTTCCCTGCTAGCGTGGAATTCCAAGCAGCGTTAGAGGTGAAAATGCCCTGCAGATTAGACATGCGTGTTAACAGTCTCAATTGACTTCTCAGGTCACTTGTGGTGGTGTTACTGCCAGTACAACCTTTAAAAAGATGTACAATGATAAATGTATGTAGTAAATGTTTCTTTTTGTAACATTGACTTTTACTGCCTTCATAGTACTGTGTTTTCTTTTAAGTGCCATAGGGCTATTTTAGAGTCTGCTTGGTTTGATATGAGGGGGGAAAAAAGCAATTTCTTCTTTGAGAAGACTCATCACTAATCAATAAATTATCATGCTGAATAAAATTTAATTTATACAATGGGTATAAGCAACTTTTGTGTGTTATTAAAAGTAAACCTTCAGCGTTTCAAATAACCACAAAGATGTGACATTTAATCTACTTTATTTGAATAGATTTTGATTTTGTCCAAATTGTTCTTCAGTGGGAAAGTCAGAAGTGATGAGAAATGTGAAAATCATGTCTCTGTCATTTCCCCATGCTGGCCAGGAACATCCTTTCCCTCTCCTTCTCTCTGCCAGTACCAGGCTTGCTCATTCTTGGTGCCCACGGAAATGTTTTTATTTGTAAACATATAAAGAGCAGGGATTTGTTCTTTACTCCTAGTCTCATTCAGACTTTTGTTGCATGCCCCTTTCTTGATATCATCTATCTGTTTAGAGTTATGATGGTAAGTATCAAGGTCTTTCCCTATGCCACTAACCAGACTGTAAGCTCTGTGAGAACAAAGACTGGACATGTTTTTACTTATCTTTGTGTCTTGAGCAGTTATCACAGTCCCTGGAACAAAGAAGGTAATTAGTAAAGATTTGCTGACTTATTAAGGATTTTATTTGTCTTTGTTTTCACTTGTACTTCGCATAGCGTTCGATGTCTAGTTAATGTTCAGTAAAGGTTTGCTTTACTGAAAATTTGAGAAAATCTGTTTAATGTACTGTCCCTGGACAGTACTTGCAAATTTTATAAATGTGCAAAGATTAAACATGATCTTATTATTTCAGATTCTTTATTATTTTAAAACCTACATCTGATCTAATAATACCTATAATTTATTGATTGAATCCTTTACTATGTGCTACTAGTAAGTACTTAATATACTGAGCTAGTCTAACTTCAGAACAATTCAGTTAGGCTTTAATATACCCATTTTCTAGATGAGGTCACTGAGATGAGAAAAGTTAAGCAGTTTATCTAAGGTCAGAAAGGTTAAGTAATTTATCTCAGGTCATATAGTCATTACATGACTATAACCTGTTCTGTCAGCCATCATAAAATTCTAAGTGATACACAAGCCGGAAAACTCCTATGTAACATCAGAATAAGCAAGTTGTATGTCACTGACTGGAATGTATTAGGTAATGAAAATGGGTAAAAATGAAATTTCTTTAAGTCAAAAAAAAATAAATAGTGTATGTGACTTAATTCTGTGATATAAAAACAAGCTCACCTGGCCAGCATGGCTCAGTGGGTGGTGGTTGAGCACTGACCTATGAACCAGGAGGTCATGGTTCATTTCCTGGTCAGGGCACATGCCAAGGTTATAGGCTCAATCCCCAGTGCAGGAGGTAGCCAATTATTGTTTCTCATCATTGATGTTTCTATCTCTGTCTCCCTCTCCCTTCCTCTCTGAAATACACACACACACACACACACACACACACACACGCACGCACGCACGCACGCACGCACGCCAGCTTAGGCTGCTTGTTCTTATAAATTAAGTTAGCTGCTTGGGTTAGTTGGAGTTTGACTTGTAACTTTTTTTGTTTATGCTTCTTGTAGGTTTGAGTGGCCGCTTCTTTGTCACCACTCTCCCAGCATTTTTTCAGTAAGTTGAAATAATTTTCTGGGCTTGTAAATATTATAAATCGGTAGATGTGTACAAGAATTCTAAGTTGATTTCCATAACCATTACACATTCAGCTTAACATCTGGAGGAGAAAGACAGCTCTGTGGGAATGATAGCTATTAGAAGAGAGGGATGCTCAGAGTGCTTCAGGCAGCTAATTGAAGGTGGGGGGTGGGCGTGGAGTCAAAGAAGATTTTTCTGATGACATAAAAGGTGGGATGATTCTTAAAGGATATGTCGGAATTGGTTAAATAGACAAGGTAGAGAGACCTTTCCAGATACAGGAGATGCCATGGAAAAGCCCAGAAGAAAATGAGCTACCTTCTGAGAACTGCAATGAGTTCTGTCTGGATCATCCTGGGTGATGTGATGTTAGGGAGGCTCAGGTAGTGAGAGGGGGAAGAGAAAGGAAGGGGTGGGTTCGGAGATGCTTAGGAGGTGGGATCATTGGGACTTGGTGACCAATTAGCCATAAGGAAGGAAAAGCCTGTGATGACTACCAATAGGCCATGTGTCACTAGTAAAAGCTATTGAGGAGCTATTAGAATAAGATGAGGTTTGGAAGATAGAGGCCAAAATGGAGAAGATAGTGTAAAGTGACCATGCTAATTTCAAATAGAAAAGTTTAGGTGATTGTCTGATTTGAGGATCTAAAGCTCAAAAGATTTAGACTGGAAATACATATTGGGAATTTCCCAGAATCAAGATAAGAATGAAAATATATTTAGAGAGAATGTATGCAACAGGAATAGAAGTAGGTCATGGATAAAACCTGGGGTCGACCAGCCTTAGGACAGGGAGTAAGGAACGAGGAGGAGTGGTCAGAATAGAAGGAAGAAGTCCAGAGAGCTCAAAAGCCAAGGGAGAGAGGGAGGAAGGCGTGTTCAGTTGTGGGCAGTGCCAGTGATAGACACAAGAAAAGTGCTGCCTGGATGTGGTGCTTCAGAGTCACTGGGGACTCTCCCCCATATGAGCAGTTTCCATGGAGTCCTGGAAGCATAACCCTAAGTCACACGGATTGTGAATGAGTAATATCTGAGGAGAAATGGTGAGTATAGACTCTGCTCTTAGGAAGCTTGACTGGGGAGAACGCAGGAGCGGGGGAAGACTTGAAGGGGCATGTGAGATGGTGTTTTGTTCATTTTCAAGGAGGGACTTAAATGACAAAATTTGGAAATGTAGAGACAGTTTTTAAAACTTAATAACAACTGCTGTTTTGCTGTTATAATAGAAACATTGAAATACTTGTAGCAAAAATAATAAAAAGTTCTTGTCAAGAACTTTGTTTATGCTTGTGAATTTTGCAGTGATAAATTAGAATGTTTAATGCTTTTTCAATTTCTCATTTGTAATAGATTAGTACTTATGCATGCTTTTTTATTTATGCCTAGCTATAATTTTTTTCTCTATTTAAGCCAAGTTAAAATTCAGAGTGTAGTTCACATGTAAAACCAATAGTTATTTTTATTATCTGCAACACTTGTTATTTAATCTGTGTGTTTTCTATTTGTTGTTATAATTTATAGTGCAAAGGATGGGATATTCCGTCGTTACCGTGGCCCAGGAATCTACGAAGACCTGCAGAATTATATCTTAGAGAAGAAGTGGCAATCAGTTGAGCCTCTGACTGGCTGGAAGTACCCAGCTTCTTTAACGTAACTTGTAATTTTTATCTAATGGGGTCTATTAATGAAACAAGCGGTATCAAGTGAACAGTTCATGGACCTTGAAAGTCTCCGTTTTTCTTCATAGTCACTTCTGATTACCCAGGCTATATATGACCATGCTTAGACCATGTGTGTTTTGGGTTTTATGGTCCACATGTGTTTCAGCTAGTTGTGAGTATACTGGGAAGTAAGTGTCCAGCTTCAGGTGGGTTGCAGAAAGTCACCCCTGACTTTTTCATTAAGCCGTGCCAACCAACTGTTTTCTCTCTCTTTTTTTGAATATATATTTTACTGATTTTTTACAGAGAAGAAGGGAGAGGGATAGAAAGTTAGAAACATCGATGAGAGAGAAACATCAAGCAGCTGCCTCCTGCACACTCCTCACTGGGGATGTGCCCACAACCGAGGTACATGCCCTTGACCGGAATCGAACCTGGGACCCTTCAGTCCGCAGGCCGACGCTCTATCCACTGAGCCAAACCAGTCAGGGCCAACTTTTTTTCTCTTTACAAAATATGGTATTGAACACAGTTATCATTCTTTCTTCCTTTTAAATTATTGATAAGATATGGAAGTGGCTCTCTCTTGAATTATAGTTTATGAAGGAATTACTCTTGTATCAATGTGGAAAATAAAACCTATGGTGTCTTTAACTACCTAGCGGAATATTGCTGGGTAACTTACAGCCATGAGGGTGAACTACATAATAATTGGTGAGGTAGATAGGGCCAATCCATAATAACTTTTCCCATAGTTGGTTTTAGTTTTGAATGAGTTATCATATTTGTAATTAATTTTGTTAATATATACAAGTATAAGGAATATCCTTGCTGAAAAAGGATTAAATGATGTAATATTTCAGGAATACATCATGTAAATGGCACTTATGTAATACTCTGGAAATACGTAATTTAGTCTACCGTAAAAGCAGCTTTCATTCTACCAGTATTGGAGATGAGTTTATGCCAGATACTGTTCCAGCTGCTAGATATTCAAAAGTGAAAAAGATGGGCATGTACCTCTGCTCCCCTCAGGCAGCTGAAAGTAAAACAGATTGAGAAATAAAATAGAGATATAAAGAATCGTAGGCTGTTTAAAACAAAACAAAACAAACAAAAACAATGTTTACTAAGGCAGGGAATAACTGTGGGGCAGGGACCTCTGTTGGATGAGGGACTAGGAGAGGTCGCTCTGAGGGAAGGACAGTAGTGAGACCTGAAGGATAAAACAACCGAGTTGCATGAAGAGCAGGGGAGGAATATTCCCAGGAACGGATGTGACACGGGGATAGGCCCCAATTTGGAAGAGCTTGGTATGCTGAGAGCAGAAAGGTGCCGGGGTCAAGACGGTGATTGGTGGGGAGAGTAGTATATATATATAAGCTGAGAAAGGGGGGCAGGCAGGAGCCAGCTCATATAGGCCTTTGACCACATTGAGGAGCATGGATGCTATCAGTGTGTGCAATGACATGGTGGCTCTTCGGAGAAGAGGCTGGGGAGGGCAAGAATGGATGAGGTCAGACAGCTAGGAGGCTGTTGCCCTGTCTAGCCTAGGGATGGTGCTAGTGCATAGCAGGGTGGCAGCAGTGGGATGGAGAGAATGGGTGGATTTAAAATACTTTGCAGGTAGACTTGGCTAAGGTGAAGGAGAGGGAAGATTTACAAAAAATCTCTTGGGTTTCTGGTTTGAATCTTACCGGTTTGAGCAAGAGAAAAGCAAGGGTTCAGTGTTAAATGTGTTAAGTTTGAGATGCAGATTTCTTTGTAGAGCTGTCAAGTTGGATGTATGGAGATGGGTCCTTAGAGAATTCAGGAACACAAATACAAAACATATAGATGGTATTCAAAGCCTTGGGAGGGAGGAGATCACCTAAAGATTGAGAGAAAAGTGCTTGGGGCCTAGCCACAAGACACCCACAATTAAGAAGAGAGGGAGTCAGCAAAAGGAGTCAAGAAACTGAAAATGAGTACCAGCGAGTCAGGAGGACAAGCAGGGTTATGGGGTTTCCCGGAAGCCAAGTAAATTAGGTGCTCAAGAATGTAGAGTAGGCCTGTGTCCTGTGTTACCAAGAGGTGAAAGAAGATCAAGTCTGAGACATGGGCGTTGAATGAAGCAATTGCAGGGTCATTGTGGCTTTCACAACTAGTGATACTGCAGCAGTGAGGGCAGGAGCAGATTCGAATGGGTTAAAGGTACAGTAAGGAAGAAGAAACAGCAAGTGTGGCCTCCTCCTTGGAGAAGAGAAGCTGGAGGGTCCAAGGACGCTCTTTTTAAAAGATGGAGAGGGTAGAGCATGTTTTCATGCCCATGAGAATGACCCTGCAGAAAGGAAGAAGTTGCTGATGCAGGCAGAGGGGCTGGCAAAAAGAACCAAGACATTAATAAGCCAAAGGGATGGGATCCAAGGCCCAAGAGGAGGAGGGCAGATAGACTTTCTCTGTGGAAACAAGAGAAGGTGCATGCACGTGAACCCCAGGCTCAGATTGGGTGGTGAGAAGATAAGAGAGCTCACATAATGGCTTCTGATTTCACAGTGACATGTGAGGAGTGTGTGTTAGCTGAGAGTGAATGGGGAGAGGAGGGTGGAAGGGTGTGAAGAAAGGGAAAAGCACAAGAGCTGTCCTGGCAGGTAGAGCCTGAGAGTGCAGTACTGAGGCACAAACAGGTTTGTGACTGAAGGAAGAGCAGTCAGCTGATTTGTCCCCAGAGACACGCAGCTGCCCACAGTTGGGGTTTTGCCAGGTATGTACAGTGGAGGGAGAAGGGGCCAGGGGATTTGAATGTATTTACAGCAGTGACTGAAATGATGGCTGTGGAGCTGAAGTTCTATATCAGTGATGGCGAACCTACGACACGCGTGTCAGAGGTGACACGCGAACTCATTTTTTTGGTTGATTTTACTTTGTTAAATGGCATTTAAATATATAAAATAAATATAAGTCTTTGTTTTACTATGGTTTCAAATGCAAATATAAAAAAATTTCTATATGTGACACGGCACCAGAGTTAAGTTAGGGTTTTTCAAAATGCTGACACGCTGAGCTCAAAAGGTTCACCATCACTGTTCTATATGAACACAAGTAAATCCAGGAGAGAGGACAGTGTATTGCAAAGAGTGGAAGGGCAGATCCTTTTGACCTGAGGTGTGTTTTTTTTTATAGTATGCATCACCAATGGTTCTCCTCTCTATTTTTTTTTAGGATGTCTGGGATGGCTGGCCTTTTTAGCATCTCTGGCAAGATATGGGTAAGTAATCTTAAATATACCCTTTGTTTATCTTTGCAGAGGGTTTTTAAAGAGTAAGAATATAACTTTTAAACCATAGGAAAATAAACATTGTGAATACTTTTATAATTTCACTTTTCTTATTAAGCCACACAACTACTCTCACAAGGGTCCCCAGTGGAAATGTGTCTTTGTGTAGAAAGGCATAAATTGAACAATGACCAGTGACTGTTGTGTCAAAGTCATACTTTCTTAGATCAGAGATGAATCTCTTTCTCAAAGCTGAATCAGCCTCATGTGGTTTTACTTCATTTTATATTCCCATTGTCATAATCTACAGATCAAAGATTAAGCCCGAAAGTGAATTTGTATGTCAGCAATCAGCAAACTATAGCTTGTGGGCTGGCCACCTGTTTTTGAAACATAGCCATGTTCATTCATTACCTGTTGCTTTCACTCTAAGTGGTAAAGTTGAGTAGCTGTGACAGAGACCATGTGGCCCAAGGGCCTAAAGTATTTCCTCTCTGCCCCTTCAGGAAAAAGTTCGGACACTCTTGCTATATGTGATTGTATCATTTCATTGAGTCATTTCAGTGAACTCAAACTATTATTTAGTTAAAAGTTTGGACAATTATATAATTTTGAATGTGTCACAAAACCTTGTGCTCCCCTTTATGTGTAGAGTGAGCTAAATCCTGCCAAAGTTAGCACAATTGCTGTGGAATTAAATATATATTCTTAAAGTATTCTACGTCTTCAAAATGAGTTCCTATATTTGTCTTTCTAAGTTTTGTGTAGGTCACAGTGTCATTTTGGAACTTAATATTTAAGGAACTCAAGAAGACTCTCTTTGTTTCTCATGCACATCGAGATATGTTGAGGGAAATTTAAGAGCAACCTTTTGTGTCCCAGTTTTTAAGTTGTGTTTTATTTTCTGGGTGTCATTTTGGAACTTAATATTCAAGCAACTCAAGAAGACTCTGTTTCTCATGCACATCTAGATATGTTGAGGGAAATTTAAGAGCAACATTTTGTGTCCCAGTTTTTAAGTTGTGTTTTATTTTCTGCCTTGTGAGATGGACCAGAAGTGGTGCCTTAGGCAGGGTTAGGAATCCTGGGGCTGAGATTCTGTCTGTAGCAAGTGTTTGGAGAGACTGTCAGTCTTTGTCTTATCTCTCGTCACAGTTGGCTACAATGATGCAGGGAGGCGTTATCTCTTTTCCAGAGGACAAGCCATTATTCTCCACCTTGTGTATATGTCTCTGAACCCATTGCTTTTCCTCTTGTAACTATTGTTACTAGAATTCTTTGAATGCTTAGCATAGAACCCACACCAAGTACATACTTGATAACTGTTTTTGTTATATTAATTATTGTTGTCATTATTTTGCTTTTCCCCTCTGATTAGGAAACAAAAATGTTTTGTTTCTATTCATTTATTCCTTAACAAACTCTGATGGCAGGATTAAAATGTTGTTACTAGAATTCTTTGAATGCTTAGCATAGAACACGCACCAAGTACATACTTGATAACTGTTTTTGTTAGTTATATTCATTAATTATTGTTGTCATTATTTTGCTTTTCCCCTCTGATTAGGAAACAAAAATGTTTTGTTTCTATTCATTTATTCCTTAACAAACTCTGATGGCAGGATTAAAATAAGGTTTTATGGCAGTTGTATAATGTGTACTTGCTAGCTAGGTTTAGCATTTGAATGTACTTAAATATTATTTGACTAGAGGCCCGATGCACAAAATTCGTGCAAGAGTAGGCCTTTGCAGCCGCAGCGGCTTCCTCGATCCTGGGGCTGCAGACCTGGCTTCGTCCGGAAGGTCGTCTGGTCTAATTAGCATATTACGCTTTTATTATTATAGATTTGATATAGTGAATTTGTGCTGCTCACTAAGCTAATACAGTAACTTCCCTCTTCTCAACGTTACTGTAGTTACGCAGGCATATGGCAAAATTTAGCCACTATAAGTGTGCTGCATCTTTGGGAGGATAATCCATGCGATGGAGAAGGTTTAATGCTTTGTAAATGTCACATGGTGAGAAGTAAAAACCATGAGTATTTAGACTGGAGAATAGTAAGAGTGTATTTTAAAACTGAAATATCCACTGTGTTTTTTATAGTGGCATATCTTCTTTTACTTTTATTTTCTTGCACCTGATATCTAGAACAGGGGTGGGCAAACTTTTTTACTCGAGGGCCACAATGGGTTCTTAAACTGGACCGGAGGGCCGGAACAAAAGCATGGATGGAGTGTTTGTGTGAACTAATAAAAATTCAAAGTAAACATCATTAAAAAAAAGGGTTCGGTAATATCCACTGTGTTTTTTTTATAGTGGCATATCTTCTTTTACTTTTCTTTTCTTGTACCTATTATCTAGAACAATATTACAATGAGATGGTGCACATCCACAGGATATATTTCGTAATGTCTGCAGGGGGCTGCAAGGTTGTGTCTTGTTGCAGAGGGTATGACATGGAAGGGGAAGTAGTAAAACCTTGGCTATCACTGGAGAAGTCTTTCTAAGCTGCTCCATTCAGGGAATATATTTGAGGATTCTTACCTGTGTTTAAGAAGGATAGAGGGGATGTAGGGCCTGTCCCCAAACTCCTCAGAGTGTATCCTGTGACATAGGTAAGATGTAAATACAAAAGGCTCTCTGTCCTTCTGGACCAGCCCAGCCCTAAATGAGACTGTGCAACACTGGGCTGGGTGGGTGGGTGCCCCTGGGAAGCATCTGATCTCACCTGCAGTAGTTCAGGTCCCAGAGGGAGTGCTGGCCTCCTTGGGGAGGAAGGGCTCTGCCTCTGATCTGTGAATGTGTTGGCCTGGCTCCATTGCTTAAATTCATCTGGCCACTGGTTGGAATATTTTTATATATTCTACTCTAATGGTATCTTCATTCAGTCTTCTTACTCAAAACTATATGTAACCCAAAATTGGCTCTAAATCAGTCATCAATAATAAGGTGTCATGCCCATCAGACAACATGTTTGTGTATTTTAAGGAAACAGTAGAATGCTTCCTTGTAATGAACACACACAACAAGAATCAGTATTTTCCTTAAGTGAAAACGATCATTGGCTGGCAGTTAAAGAAACAGAAACACAGAAATTTAAAATTGAATTTGATAAATTATAATCAGTAATTGCCTGGAAACATCTATATATATAAAGAGGTAATATGCTAATTGGTCCTAACGGTGTCCCAGTCATGACCGTTCAACAGGTTGTGTGTGCACAGGAGCTGGTGGGCAGGGACGGGGGCGGGGACTTGCACCACTGGGACATGAGGCTGCCACCAGAGGCGTCAGGACGGGGTGGTCCCCCCAGCGGAGGCGTGCACAGGGAAGCATCAGGACAGGGGTGGGGCCTTGGCAGAGAGCTCTCAGGCCAGAGGCGTCAGGACGGGGTGGTCCCCCCAGCAGAGGTGTGCGTAGGCCCACGCAGGGGAGGTTCAGGACAGGGGTGGGGCCTTGGCAGAGAGCTCTCAGCTCTCCTGTGCCGGGATCTGAAGGCACGGAGAGGAAGGGAGAGCAGACGGGCAGTTAGGGGGATCAGTCCAGGAGGGGAGAGCAGATAGGCAGTTAGGGGGACCAGGCCAGGAGGGGAGAGCAGTGAGGGGCATCAGGCAGGCAGGAGAGCAGTTAGGGGCATCAAGCAGGCAGGCAGGTGAGCACTTAGAGCTAGTGTTTCTGGATTGCGAGAGGGATCCGAGATTGGAGAGGGTGTAGGCCAGGCTGAGGGACCATCCCCTCCATGCACGGATTTCGTGCACGGGGCCTCTAGTTCTGTATAATAGAAGCCTAATATGCTAAGTGTCCTGCCGTCTAGTTGGCCGTTCAACCAATCAAAGTGTAATATGCTAATGATATGCTAAGGCTGCTCAACTGGTCACTATGATGTGCACTGACCACCAGGGGGCAGATGCTCTGACTGGTAAGTTAGCTTGCTGCTGGGGTCCAGCCAATTGGGACTGAGCGAGATGGGCTGGACATGCCCTGGAGCCCTCCCCGGCCCTGATTGTGAACCAGTGGGGTCCCTTGGCCTGGCCTGTGCCCTCTCACAATCTGGGACACCTCGGGGGACTTCAACTGGTTTTGGCCCAATCCTGCAGGCCAGGCCAAGGGACCCCACTGGTGCATGAATTTGTGCACTGGGCCTCTAGTATATATATATATAAAGACTTCAAGTAACTAGAACCAAGTACCCTAACACTCAGGTACTCTAAAACCATTGTGGTGGCAGGTAATGTAAACAGATAAAGATTTATGTCTGCAGCTGTGAAAACAAAACTTGATTAATGAGACTTTAGTAGTAATCACCTAAAAGACCACATTCTACCAGCGCTCTGTCAGGATTTCTCTAAGAAGCTCAAATAAATCCTCCAAAGTATCAGCAGATACAAGAACATTGAAGTGGAGCTTATTAAAATAAGTAGGTATTTTGAATGTGCTAAGAAATGTGTGACTCAGAATGCAGTGACACAAAGGCAAATGATTTACTGCATTCTAGAAAATAGAAAGGTTCTGAGGGTTACTTTAATCATTTATTTTGCAGAAAGGGCATACGATGCTGTCTAGAAGGATTTATAACTGCACATAACTCATTCCAACCATAGGAGTAAGGCAAATGGGCAGATATTTTTTATAGAGCAAGTTCCAGAATACTTACGTCCATAGGTCAGCTCAAAGGCAGACTGGCTTTCTCTATCTTCTAATTCCTTGGCACATTTCAGGGATTAATCCTGATCACCTCACTGAGTCACCAAGAAAAGCATTAACTATGCTCAGTACATAGAGTTTTCTAAAGTAGGAACCTGTGCAGTATTTAGAACTTCCATTGAAAAGGATTTGACTAACACAACATTTGAAATCCCAATACTTCTTTTGCCTGCTGGGTTCCAGAATGCTGGATTATTCTGAATAAACAATTGCCTTGGCTGAAGACAGAATAATGACCAGTGTAGACAACAGTTAGAGATGACAGTGTTACAAATCCAGATTATTTGCATTTCCTATGAATACTTTAAGGATTTGCCAGTACCTATAACTTACCTAACAAATATTTTTTACATGGATCAGTGTTTAAAGTACTTGCTGAGTCTTTATATCTATCTCTTCAGCTGAGTAAGAGATTGGAGAGAAGAGATCTCAGATTTTTCTAGATTAGGTTAGATGAACAAGCTTTTTTGTTTGTTTATCATGTAGATTTAAGCCAAATTGAGGTATATTATTTAATTGTGTTGACATTTATAAACAGAAACCAATGACTTGAGTAATTTAGATTTTGAGAAATATTAAAATGGAAACTTGGACTCGTTTTTAGTTATTACATCTGTTCTAGGCAAGTCTTTCACTTCTTATCTCTGCCTGCTGATGACATTTAGCTTGGAGCCATTTTATCGTGTGCCCAGTAAATTTCGAATGGCTGTTCTTGAAGCTATAATGGCCTGAAACCTACAACCACTAAACCTTCATGAGGAAGCATGGCTCCTGCAAGTCCCCATCTAAGTGGGTGTTGACTCTAAACTACCACTTCATATCTGTAATTTCTGTGTGATTTTAGCATGGAAATAATTTCCAGTTCAGATTGTATCTCTCTCTTTTTTATTTTTTTAACTCTTCGGTATCAAACAGAGTTCTAGGGGATAGTAAAAAAAGAATGTGCACTCTACTCAAAACCTCATGAAATCTCATTTCCTCATAGTGAATTAACTGGGAAAACCTTCTTTTGTCTAATATTACATTTTAGGTTTTATGGTGATTTAGGAAAGCTGTTAAGGATGGGTAGAGGTAGAGAAATGACTAGAAGGAGGAAGTATGGAGACGTTTAAAATGATTGATGTTCTCTAAGTAGTATTTAGTTCTACTTAACAATTGGTCAAGGCTTAAGAAGTTTAATTTTTATGGATTCCATATTACAAGTAAATATTGAGGTATATATAATTATTAGCAGAGAGTGACCAAAAAAAGTCTATCATTGTGGAAGAAGGGACTAGAAAAACAATTCTATCAGAGTTCTATCAGATTATGAACTCCAAAGAATGAGAACTCTTACCAGATATAACCTTGAGTATACTCTCAGGTTCCTGCTATTGTAAAGCTTGACTTGTTCTGAGGAATCGCAGATGCATAAACCACTGGATGACCTTGTGGGAGCTCCTCTATGTGGAAACAATTTGCAGACTTGGGTGATAGCTGGAGAGCTAGATTTAAACATTTTTGGTCCTCATTATAAATAATTTTTCTTTTAATTACAGCATCTTCACAACTATTTCACAGTGACCATTGGAATGCCTGCTTGGTGTTCTTATGTCCTTTTCGTCATTGCCACCTTGATTTTTGGCCTTCTCATGGGTCTGGTAAGAGATAATGCCAATCTTCTTTCCTTTTCTTAAAGCCTAATGGGTTTTATGCAAAACTACAAAGCAGCCAAGAAAGAAAAAACACATAAACATTATTTTGTGTGTAATCTAAGCAGTTAAGTAGCATTTGCTTATTTGATACTGCTTACAATGCTAATTTGAGAAATAATGGAAAATTCATTAAATCATTATCTTTTAATTCTGGCCTTTATATTTTCTGAAGATCTGTGCTGCCCAAAATATAGGCAGTGATGAAAAGAAAAGTTGAGATCATACTTGAATTGATAGTTTGCAAGACAACCCCATCAACAGTGATTTCACACATTGCCTACTTGATTAGAACTCTGTGGTGATAAGGCCAATGCTGTGGATCTGTTCCTCAGTGAATGAGATGATTCTTTTCTTGTTCATATCCTCCAATTAAACCTCTAATCCTGGCCAGCTGCTTACACACACACTCTCCTTAGTCTGAGATGGATTTTATAAGATAACTAGAGGCCTGGTGCACAAAATTCGTGCATGGGGGGAGGGGGGTGTCTCTCAGCCCGGCCTGCACCCTCTCCAATCCAGGACCCCTAGGGGGATGTCCAACTGCTGGTTTAGGCCCGATCCCACAGGGATCACCTGCCTGCCTGCCTCATTGCCCCTAACTGTCTCTGTTTGCTGGCCTGGTCGTCCCCTAACTGTCCCCCCCACACTGGCCTAGCCACCCCCTAACTGCCCCCCTGCTAGCCTGATCTCCCCTAACCACCTTTGCCTCTGCTCTTGTCATCGTGGCTTTGTCTAGAACAGCCGTGGGCAAACTACGGCCCGTTTGAAATGAATAAAACTAAAAAAAAAGACCATACCCTTTTATGTAATGATGTTTACTTTGAATTTATATTAGTTCACACAAACACTCCATCCATGCTTTTGTTCCGGCCCTCCGGTCCAGTTTAAGAACCCATTGTGGCCCTCGAGTCAAAAAGTTTGCCCACCCCTGGTCCAGAAGATGTCTGGTATAATTAGCATATTACCTTTTTATTAGTATAGATGTTGAAAAAAGGGACTAGAAAACACAGTCAATATTGTGAAAAAAAAGATCAGATGCAAAGCACATCTAGTGCTTACATATCTAGTAGGTATTTGTGCATTTTCTCCCTAGATATTTTAGGTAAGAGTTGGAATAATAAATTTATTTATTTAACTATGTAGGCAACTATAAGTATTGTGGCATGCTTTATTCTTTGATATAATTTGTTAAGCTTTCGCTGATCCATTTGATTGAGCTTTAAACTAATTAAAACAAATTCTTAAACGCCCTTATACTATATATGAACCACATAGCTCCTAACTACTATATGATAGGAATAAGTGATGATTACTAAAAATTTATATAAAAAAGACAAACTTTTAGTTAAGATTATCTTAAAAGTCTGTCCTTACACTTTATAATAAATTGTGGCTCTTTAGCAAAGTCTTTTTTTTTTTTAATCCTCACCTCAGGATATGCATTTTTTTTTGTTTTTCATATATTTTTTTTATTTTTTACAGGGAGGAAGGGAGAGGGATAGAGAGTTAGAAACATCGATGAGAGAGAAACATCGATCAGCTGCCTCCTGCACACCCCGCACTGGGGATGTGCCCGCAACCAAGGTACATGCCCTTGACCGAAATTGAACCTGGGACCCTTCAGTCCGCAGGCCGATGCTCTATCCACTGAGCCAAACTGGTTAGGGCTGCTTTTATTAATTTTTAAACAGAGTAAGGGAGAGAGAAACATCGATTAGTTGCCTCCTGTATGTGCCCGACAGGGGATTGAACCCACAACCTAGGTATGTGCCCTGACCAGGGCTAGCAAAAACTTTTTAAAATAAGCTTCAAATATTAGCAGTTGTTTTATAGCAAGTCATAAGTTAGTACAACAAAGTCCTATTCCAGGGAGCCCATTGTATTTTGCCATGAGCATGCTTCCTTCACACTATGGTTTATATTTGAGATTTGACTAAATGTTAACCTCACCGGTGGGGATAGAACTTAGATACGTCATTCATTAGGTCCTAGGTGTGTTCCCATTCTGATGCACTAATCATACTGCTATTAACATGCCCCTAATGGTCTGGTCTAAAAGGATTTGACTTTGGATATAAATTTGACCTTGGATGTAAATGTACTACTCCCATCTACCATCTGGTTCTAGATTTTTCTGGTAGTATATTCTAGAGCCACAGGAGCATGAGGTTCTTGTAGAAGGAACAATATGAGATCCCTGAAGACTAAGGTAGAGCTTTGGAGAATGTAGGTTGATTGTAAGCCTAATGCAAGACCGTTGGAAAGTCTTCTCAGCATAAAGTTTTAGAGTTTTATCTTTGAGGTTTACTTTAAACCCAAGAAATCATGTCAGATGTGCCTATGTCCTAAGTTCATTTGGAAACAGATTTAAATAATCAGTGTAGGAAGGTTATTAGAAGCTTGACCCAAAGAAAGAAGAGAGTTGATTTAAGACTGTTCAAGTGATTAAGTGACATAAAATGTTATTCTTTTATAAGAAGTTGGGTCTCCTCAGACTGGCATTCAGAGCTTTCTCTGGACCTAAGTGCCCCCATGACCCAATTTGGTATAGCTTAAAGGAGCTAAACCTGTGCTGCCACCCAGCTCTTCCTGACTATGCCCAGGGCCTTAAATGTGCCTTCTTCAAATGCATCATTCTTAATCTTTCCCAATGGTTGTAATCTCTGTATCTCTTAAGTATCTATCGAAGTGCTTTATTCATTTTTCTTATGAAACTCAATTGTTCTTTATTGATTTATAATTAAACTGCCATTTTTTTCTCTTTTTGAATCTTGCCCCCAGATGTTAATGAACCAAATATTAAATAAATTAATAAATGAAAATACAGGTGGTAATAATTCTGAACAAAATGTAGGATACTCATTTGACATTTATAAAATTGAATCAAAAGGACTATGACTTTGAGTTCTTTAAAATTTTAGAATACCTTTAAGACATTGGTGTAGGAAGTACTATTACTATTTATGGTGAGGGGCAGCCCATGTACCGACCAGTTCGGTTTGTCCAGAGAGTGTTTTTTAAAGGCCAGTTTAGACTTGGCTGATAGTGTCTGTTTTCTTATACCCGCTTGTTTCATCTATTTTAGTGGACTCTCTTAGGCATTTGACTGTGTGGACCCCTGTTTTCAAATATTAGCATCTCCCTATATTGTATCACATTTAAAAAAATAGGAAGTTCTTAAGTATACCCTTTTCTGTTTTGAGGACTTCTGACCAACTGCTAATTATTTATCTATGAATATCTGGTTGTAGAAGGCTTAATTTTTAAGGTTATTTGAAAATAAATGTCCTATGTACTCACTATAAAATCACCTTTTCCCCCTCCAGGTCTTGGTGTTAATATCAGAATGTTTCTATTTGCCATTTCCAAGGCATGTATCTGAACATCCCGGTAAGTGTGGTAAACTCATGTAAATAGAGTATTTTTGGAATTCTGTGTTGTGCCCTTTCGTGCTCATATAGGTGGTAGATTTCCCCCTGATGTGCTAGGTTACCAAACCACCACCACTAAATTCCTTAAAATATGTTCTCTATATAGACTTAACAAAATTCTCTTTCTTCTCTCTTAAACTAAGGAATATTTCATCTTGGCAGTTTCTTTTTCCCTTTAAGTGTGTGCCCTTCATTAATCAATTGATACCTTTTTCTTCATTCAAACTGGAATGAAAAGGGAGGGAGGGAACTCACATTTATTAGGACTTTATTGTGTGCCTGTAACTATTCCAAGTGCTTTGTAAGAAGTCTCCCTGCCTGGCCAGTGTTGTTCATTGGTGAGCGTCCATCTATGAACCAGGAAGTCATGGTTCCATTCCCAGTGGTCAGGGCACATGCCTGGGTTGCAGGCTAAGTACCCAGTACGGGGTGTGCAGGAGGCAGCCAATTGATGATTCTCTTTCATCCTTGGTGTTTCTATATCACCCTCTCCCTTGCTCTCTCTGAAATCAATTAAAAAATGTTTAATTAAAAAAAAGAAGTTTCTCCAAATCTTTGTACTGTTTCACACTGTTTCTGAGATCAAATAGCCCTGGATTTGCATGTTTTTAATTCTATTTTTTAAACTTTGCATAAAGACTTTTATGAGACTTTGTTGAATTTTATGTTAGAGTTTAAATAAGCTATATTTCTTTTTAATTTTTGAAGTTTTCAATGCTTTGGGACTTCCATAGATAAAGTCATGAGCTATGAGATAGGGATACTTTATGAGAAATGCATCATTAGGTGTGATTTGGTCTTTTTTGCAACATCACAGAATGCACATGCACACACACAGATGATACAGTCTTACTTTATACAGCTGGCAGCAGAGTAGGCATTTAAACCAGCATCACCACAAACACACGAGAATTACCTTGCTCTGCTACAAGATGACTACAATAGGAATTTTTTAGCCTCATTATAATCTTACCAGAGGCCTGGTGCATGAATTCATGCATGGGTGGGGTCTGGCCAGCCTGCCCTAATGGGGGCCCATCGGCCCGGGCTGGTGGGGGGAGGGGCTGCGGGTGGTTGCTGGGCTGGCCCTGCCCCCAGGTGGGGTGTTGGGGGCTGATTAGGA